AAAGGGCAACGATTCCGATTAGAAGAATGAAGGCGATATCGCACTGTTCAACATATCGGCCAATCCAGCTGATGAGCCAACTTTGAAGATCATCGAAAGAGTACTTGATCCACGGCTTTGAGCACAGGTGCGGGTACTGCTGACTATATCCGCAAACGGATAGCGATGGAGAAATGGAAAAACCAAGAGTGTTACATGGGGCTTTCTTGGATATGGAGAAGCTTTCGACAGTTACCTCATGATGTCATACGGTGGGCACCGTGAAAGCACCTGATCTCAAAGATATACATGCAAGAGATTGATTTATCATGGAGCCACAGTCATCGTAAAGTGCGACAGGGCAGTCATAACCATTCTGCATAAAGACCGGTTTACGAAATCATGCTCTTCTTCTACTCTTTACCACATCATGGACACAGCGACAGCTTTATGGGCTCCGTATGCAGGATGTGGTGTTGATGCAGAAAACAAAAAAGAACCTGAAGAAGAGGTTCAGAGATGGAGGAACCAATTAGGGTCGTACGGCTTGAACAAAGAAGCAGGAGTGGATGGGAGGTCAAACTTTAGAAACCATATGCTCGATGATGGGCCGACCAAGATGACGAGCACTTTCACGTACCTAGGAAGTCGCATCCTTGCGAAGGAGAACTTCAAGATGTGCTGCCGCCAGGAAGAACGCGGCCTATATGGAATAGAGAATTTTCACAGAAGTTCTATGTGACACGCGAATGCCTGTGCGACTAAACACCGAATAACTGTAGTGTGATTCGTCCAACAGCACTGTGTGGCAATAAGTGTTGGCCAAGTACATGAAGAACACAAGCTTAGTGTCATAGAGGCAAGAATACTGCGGTGGACATTGGATATCACCTTGATGATCATGTCTGTAACGACACCGTTCGAGCTCAGATGAGATTTGCTCCCATCGCCAGGAAGATCGAAGAAAAGCGACTGCGGTGGTAGACATTTGAATAGATGAGCTGAAGCCCAGCTCACAAAGGTGGTAATTTCCCTCTCTACTAATTTTCAACCTTAGGCAAGAGTCGATAACAGTGTGATTTGAGAGAATTGGATATACGGTTTTTTCGAAAGGAGACCTTGCGATATAAATGTAATTCTATCAACAAACTTTTTAAAGCTGAAAGGTCCTAAGAAATGTTGGAAATGTTTTCTAATTGACTTACGGGTTCCATTGCAATTGCTTTTTGGAAGATTTTCAGAGAGTTGATGTAAGTTACAAAATAACTAGGTATCGAAATATCAATTTGTCGACGACATTTTGTTTCCCAGTTCAAAAAGAAAACAGAATCAAATGATTTGAGCATTGAACGGAT